ATACATCATACATACATGCATACACACATACATACATACATCATACATACGTACATACATACATACATCATACATACATACATACACGTGTGCACGTGTAAGTTAAGTAATGAGTTAATTATTTACAATTATCAACATTTAAATACATATACATATATGTATATTAATTAAATATATACATATTTATTTTATTACATATATTTAATTAATATACAATATGTAATTAAATGACATTTATAAATTGTATATTTATTAATGTACATCAATTCCACGTTTTAAAATATATTCACAATAAGTATGATCAAAGTATAGAATGACTCAGATAGTTTATTATATAAAAATTTCGTTAAGTGCTTCCTTAGAGAATGTTTATTAAATGATTAAAGCAGTCACTTACCTCATTATTAAATATCACAATTGTATAAAATTAACTCGTCATTAACGTTGGCACAAGACATTGTTAATAATTTTCCTTACTTCGTCTAGGAATTCATGAAAACTTCCAGTGGTAGAAAAGTCCTGAAATGCCTGTACTCTTTCAGATTTTGTCATTTGAGCTGTTAGAAACCTTTTCACACAACAAGATTTCAGTTCGTGACATGAATTCACTCTTGCCCAGTTCCATGCCCTACTAAAATTTTTATAATTCAACTTGGAAATAGAACTTTCTGTAAGAATATCCGATATATCGGCCATGAGGAATTTGTCAGCTAGTAGCACCGCGTCCAATAAAGATTCGATAGTTCTATTTTCGAAAGTTGCTCCATTTGCAGCTAGTAACAACGTGTTAAGACCTTCCTTCGACGTATTTCGCAATTTGACACGTTTCTTGCCCGACTCTGAAAAGTTCCCTTCAAGCATTGCAGAGAATGCGTCTGATTTTTGACACAATGTTTGCCTACAAGCGTCGACGGTCGTACCATCGTCCAGTTCGAATGTAACCGTTGCAGGTTTCGGATGATTATCATATACTCTTGGAAAATCAGCCGAAGCGGTTTCTGTGATTTGATATTTTTCTATAATCTCAGGTTGAATTTCTAACGTGCTTGCTAGACGACAAATTGACCAAATAGCATTTTCATAAAGGAGATGTTGTTGATCAGATAGAATGTGAAATATTAATTGAAGACCACCGTGATTATTCAATAATGATTTTAGAATATCTCGCGATTTAATTAGAAATGGTATCGAGACTGCGATAACCAGTTTATGAGCTTCCTCTCCGCGAAGCAATGTAGATGTAAGTTCGCCTATCGCTCCGCCTGTTTCTGCTAGAGCGCATAATTGTCTTGTATAATGTTCAGACCCACATAATGTTTGAGCTTCAAAAACGAAGCCTTGTTTTAATAATGGCATTAAATATGCTCCGTTTCTGTATAAAATTTTTTTTATTATATAATATGTTTTATTTGCAAAATGAATGTTTTGCTTACCTTATAATTCTATTTAAAATTCTAGATGCTCTTAGATTTTTTGCGTGTCTAATGTAAACTAATAACGGTCCAATAGTCGTGGGATCGGCCAATCGATCAATTGGATCATTTGAATGACTTAATCGGCTTAATAATACTAATGTCCATATATTTCCATACTCCCAGGTGTATGTACATCCCGATGATTTGTTCTCCTTTTCTATATTCTGCGGTTCTTCTACTTCTACAGTTACTGATTTCCAACTCTTCAATGATTCTACTTCTTCTTGGGGTTCTAAAAAAATGAGGCAGAAGTTATTATTCTCGAATGTTTTTAAAATGATTTAAATTGCAAAATATATAAATTAATTTACCATCTTCGTTATCCATCATTTCTGTATCACTACAAACTGGACTGTAATTATCTTCGGTATTTTCGTCATTTTCAATAGAATCATAAAAGGGTAACGGTGGTGTACTAGGAGGTGAAGAGGAAACACTAGTAGCACTTCCTGGACTCCAATCATCTCGATAGTAGTCTGAACTAAATCTGCGGATAAAAGAGTAGTAACATTATATTTTTCATAACTAAAGAATTAAATTAAATTTCGTGAACGTACCGTCCTAAATTTGTCTTATTGTATTTCAATTCTGTTTGTTTGCTAGGAGGAGAATCATTTTCTCGTTTTTTTGAAACATTCGTTTTCTCGTTAGATATAGCTTCAATTGCCATTTTTTTCAATCTAGTAATTAAAACGTCAAGCAAACCATTCTTTACCATTATGGTAATGCTTGGTTCGTCATAGACAAATTGTGCTAAAGCATGTAATAACATGGGATGATATTTTTCATTCTCAATATCTTTTAATAATGATAACATTAATTCTAAACCTGATCCCATTCTAATCCTTGCACGATTTACAGCTTCTCTACAAAATAGGCATAAACTGACTAATGTCTCCCTAGACAATTCTGAGCGATCTTTGATAAGAACGATAAAACTTTCAATAGCACCGAAATTTCCCAAAATTGGACGACATTCCGCAATTTGGCAAAGATTATATAAACATTTAATCGCCACTTTATTATGCATGTCACAACATTGTACAATACTCTTATAACCCTGTATATCTTTTTCTCCTCTTAATTGTTCTCCAACTCGAGGATCCAACGTGGACAAGAAAGCACACATGGCTTTTAAACAGCTCTCTATTAGTTCCATGTATTTTTTATCCGTCTCTGATTTTTCTTTTGCTAATACTAATAAACTTGTAATTCTAAATATTACTCCAGATTCTAAGATTTCTTCTCTACTACCTTCATATATACTCCAAATATTCCTATAAAAGAAATATGAAACTTAATAAGAAATACTGATATTATCTTCATATATACAAATTAATTTTCTAATACCTTATTGCCCTGACACCCATTAAGTAAGTTTGCATATATGTATCTAGTTGTAAAAGATCAACCAAAGCTTGAATTGCACCAACTTCACATAATGATTTTGCATGATAATCACTTTCAGATAAATTACCAATTAGTCTACAAGCACGGCAGTGTATATTATTATCTAGTTTGATATGCTTTATTATAGAAACTACGCGACTTGCTATTTTAGATCCTTTGACCTAGAAAATAATTTGTACTATTATATTATTATGAATGACCAAGTTGTGCAGCAACAATCAATCTATTCATATATATATATATATATATATATATATATATATATAT